TCATCTGTTATTACAAACTGCTGCTGCTTTGACCTTGGCTGTGCTATGCTAAGATAATGTAGTTATTCACAGGCATTCCTCCCCCCTCATCTGGCCCGCAATGCCTGCTTTTGCTCTTGAGGCAATATGTAGACTAAATAGATATGTTTGCTTCTTCACTTATGTCAAGCAATAACATCCAATGTTAGCAGACTTGACAGATGTTTTTATTTTTGTTATCGAACTATTGCTTAACCTAGTTACCACATTGCTTTTTAAATAGCTAAATGTAAAATTGAAGGGGAATTCTGGTCATTAGATTTAAAATACTTGGAAATTAGTTGAAAATAAGGACTATTTGTTTAATACTTAAAAATTAGACCTAAAAGGAAAAAGAAAATTAATTATTATGAATATGTTAGATTTATTGATTAACCCAGGTAATATATATAATGGTTTTGATTTATTAAAGGGGATATTGTATTATTAAGTAGATGATTTAATATGGTAGGAAATAGATAACTTTTAGGAAATAGAACAAGATTGTATTCAAATAGATAAAATGTGTATTTCGGATATTAGATTTTGTTATGAATTGAGATAAGGGCCTTGTGTTTGACATATCTGCATTAAGTTGTATGTGGATTGTCAGTTTTGAATCCATCTGTTGGTGATGTTGTCTCTCCCACATTTTTCTAGCTTACCAAGAAGTAGGTTGTGGTCTACTTTGTCAGATATAATGAAATACAAGTATACTATGGGCACAATATTTTGCTGGTCCAGTAATTTAGTAACTTTGTCAAAGAATGAAATAAGATTTGCTTGGCATGATCTGTTTTTGACAAATCCATGTTGGCTTCTAGCTATAATTTTGCTTGCTTCCAGGTGTTTGCAAATCTGTTACTTGATCATCTTTTCCAGGATCTTTCCAGATATTGATGTCAGACTATGCAGATACAGATGTCTGTAGTTTCCTGGATCTGTTTTCTTCCCATTTTTTGAAGATGGGAACCACAGGTGTTCTCTTACCATTTTCTTGCCTATTTTAATTTGAATTCTTTGTCTTTTGTGGTTCTGTTTTTGATAGATTGGGCCATTTTTTCTTTTTGTATGAAGACCCATGCAAGAGAAGAATTAAGCAGCTCTGCTTTCTCCCTTTTGCCTATAACTTCCTTGCCATCTTCTCCCATTACAGGACCGATTTTGTTTCTTTGACTTTTTTCTAATTTTTTTATGTGTTGAAAGTTTTTAAAATTATTTTTGAATTTGTGGCAACTCTTAGTTCATTCTTAGCCTTAGCTTTCCTGACTTCTTCTTTGCGGATTTGGGCTATATCCTGGTGTATTGGTATTCTGCCTTAGTTATGTGTTCCTCTTATCATTTTTTTATAATCCTTTGTGTCATTCATTTTATCAAAGTTCTTTATGCAACCATGCTGGTTTCTTTTTGGATTTCTTATTTTTCTTTTTCAGTGGTATTGTGCTGGGCTGAGTTTTTATAATCATATTTTTCAGGGTTTCCCAAGTTTCTTGAGTTGTTTTCCCCTTTAAGATTTTCATCCATGGAATCCTTCCTAAACTCTAAGTTTGTTGAAATCAGTTCTCTTAAAGTTTAAGACACTGGTTTGATTATGTTCTATTCCTTGTGTCTGCATTATGTTGAATTCTAAGATGATATGATCACTCTCCTCCAAAGTTCCTTCAACTTCCACCCCCTCTATCATTTCTTCTCTGTTAAATCAGGTCCAATATAGTTGTTCCTCTAATTCTTTTCTCTACCTTTTGGGATGACAAAGTTGTCAATTAGATTGGTCAGGAACCTGCTCGATCTCCCATGCAGGGTAAGGTTGCCTGAGCAGCTTTTAGAAATTTTTGAAGGGGCATCTTTCTTTTCCCCTTCCTCAGAGCATCTTTAAGTCATGAGATCCAGCAATTTGTTGACCTGGTCCCATATACCAACCAAGGAGGGTTGTACTACTTTATATACTATTATTAAGGTCTTGAGCATTTTTGGTTGTTGGTAAACACTACAAATTAGGGCAGTGGTTCTCAACCTTTTTAATGCCGCGACCCCAACCGGTCGTAAGTCGAGGACTAAACCGGTCGTAAGTCGAGGACTAAACCGGTCGTAAGTCGAGGACTAAACCGGTCGTAAGTCGAGGACTACCCAACCGGTCGTAAGTCAAGGACTTTCCCTGCTCGGGAGCGCCGCGCATGCATGGTTCTGCCCCCTGCGCCGGCCGAGACATAGCTGGCAAGCGGCAGAGACGGAGCAGGCCGACCACCAGCTGGCCCAGCCCAAGGGAGGTAAGGCACCCGCCGGAAAAGGGGAAAAAAATGGCGGACAAAAAAAATGGCGGACAGCCTTGCTTGGCGACTCCCGTGAAATGGTCGATCGACCCCAAATGGGGTCCTGACCCACAGGTTGAGAACCACTGAATTAGGGCAATAAAAAACATGGGATTCTTCAGTTTCTATGGTTTTGGCCACATCCTCTTGTACCTTGCAGCCATAATAATGGCAGTGGTTTTGTTGTATTCTCTGTTGTCTACTAGGTTTCTGCACAATTATTTGAGAAACCTGTTTGCTGGAGCTTGGGAAGCACAAGACCTTTCACCTCTACCAGTGAACATGCCAGAAGCCACAGAAGCACAGGTGAGACTTCCTTTTTAAGCAAAGATTTTCAGATTCCAGTTAAGCTCATCAAAGTCAAAGAGGGGATATTGGAAACATTATTTGTTAATGTTTTGCTTGTCATGAAAATGTTATCTGCTTGTATGTTCTGTTTTCCTATCATTCTAGCATTTAAAGTCGTCTTTCAGATTGCAAACTAATAAAAGGGAATGAACTTAAGGCAGAAAATACGGTTTCCATTATTATCAGTAAAGCCCTGGATTATTATCACTGTAAGGACCCACCTCACTTTACATCTTAAGAAGACAGAACTCTTGGAATATCTCTTCCAACAGGCATCTTTATTAAGAGAAAATGATTGCAGGCATTCTAGACAGGATCTGGGGAATTCTCTCCCATCCTTCAATGTTTTAAGTGTTCCCAAGCAGCCCCCACCCCACAGTTTTTCCGGGCGACGATCACTCATCCTCTCTTTTCCCAGATCCCAGGCATTGCCTTGTTCCCCCCCTTTTCCCTCACTGCCGGCAAAAGGGAGACTTCAGAGAGATTAGATGAAAGGCGATGGCCATATTGTTATGATCAGTCCTGTTGATGCGAATCAACATCCAGTCACTTTGTAGTTTAATGAAGGAAGTGAGAGCCATAAAACCCCCTTGTTTATCCTCCTCCCCTTTCGTAGTATGACAGAATCCAGAGAGAGTAAGAAATGTTTTTTTTTTCAGAGTAGGTAGCTAGAAATGAAATATAATTGGATTCTGACATCCTGCCCCCCTTAAAAATAAGAGAGATTCACCTGTAAAGAAAACAAAACAGGTATAAAAGTTAGTCTGGCTTGTTAGGATACTCTGTATGAAACTTCTCTAATAGCTTCGGGGCTCTGACATGACGTTTATGGACACACTCGTTTTGTGAGGCGGGGAGGTGTTTCCATGCTATTAGGTATTGGGTTGCCCCATGATATCTCCTAGAATCTAGGATTTCCTTTATCTCGAAGTGTTGTTCGCCTTCCACCATGATTGGAGGTGGTGGTGGTGGGGATTTTTGGCCGTAAGGGTGACTGATGTTCTCTTTTCAGCAAACTGCAGTGAAAAATTGGGTGTATTTGCCTAAGATTTTTGGGTAATTCTAATTCTACTGTTACTGGGTTTATGATTCTTTTAATTGGAAAAGGCCCTATATATTTTGGTCCAAGTTTTTTACAGGGTTGTAGCGATTTTAGGTATTTTGTAGATAAGTACACCATTTCTCTATAATGAATGGTGTAGGCTCAACCCTTTTTTATCAGCTTGTGCTTTGTATGCCTGCCTAGCTTCATCTAGTGCTTTTCTAACTATTGGCCAGGTGTTTTGTAATTGTTCCATCCATTCTTTCAGTGATAGGATCGCCGGTTCGTTTGGGGTTAGTTCTGGCATGGGGTTGAAACTTTGACCGGTAGCTATTTGAAAAGGAGTGTAATCTGTGCTGGAGTGGACTGCATTATTGTAGGCCACTTCTGCGAAGAGGAGTAGGTCCGTCCAATCAGACTGTTGGAAATTAATAAAGCATCTTAAATATTGCTCAAGTACTGAGTTTGAATTTTCCGCTTGTCCATTCCCCTGAGGATGATGGCTAGATGTCAGTCCCTGAATGGTCCCTAAAAGGGATAAAAATCCTTTCCAAAATGCAGACGTAAATTGCACTCCCCTATCAGATATGATGCATTGGGGTGCCCCATGCAATCTGTAAATATGCTGCACGAAAAGTTTCGCTAAGGCTTTTGCGGTGGGAATCTTTTGGCAAGGGATAAAGTGCACCTGTTTGGAAAACAAGTCTGTGACAGTCCTGACGACAGTATTCCCATTGCTTTCTGGTAATTCCACTATAAAATCCATGGCTATTTCCGACTTCCGGTTCCGGTTCGCGGCGTCGCTAGTCGTGCGGCGAGACTTGTCCCTCGCCGGCTAGTTTTCCCTCCGTTGGTGGAGCCTTATACAGCTCCAAAGTCGCCCTGGAGGGCGCGACTTCTGTCGAGGCTGCTGTCCGGCTGCGGAGGAGTGGTGGCTCCTCCAGCTGTCCAGACAATCTCTGAGGGCCGACGGAGAAGAAGATCGGCCAGTCAAATGGCCGATCGCCCTGCCGCTTCAGACCGCAAGTCAGAGAACATCTAAGCTGTGAGTGTCCCCGTGGTGAACCCGGGTGAGAACTTTCTTTGGAACTCTCTTTTCTATTTTTTTTTCTTTTGGTACCTGTAAGAGCTTTTGGAATTACTTCCCTGGCTTGGAAAGGCAGCTTCTATTTTTTTGGGAAGAAAGGCGTTCTATCAATATAGAAAAAGACTATATTTTACTTTTATCTATATATATTTTTTTCTTTGGATATAAAAAAGGAAAGAAAAAAAAAGACGGAAAAGGTTTTCTACTCTCTTGCCAAGAACTGTATTATTTCTTTTTTTATACATCATACTTTAAAACAGTGATGGTGAACCTTTTAGAGTCCGAGTGCCCAAACTGCAACCCAAAACCCATTTATTTATCGCCGGGTGCCAGGTAGGCATGGCCCACTGGATAGACGTGGCTGTGGTGATCATGGCAAATTGGGTGGGTGTGGCCAAGGTGTGCGTGATCACCTTGATGTTGCTCATGGGGAGGGACGCCTGTGGGGGCCGGGCAGGGTTAGGGGAGATCCAGGGGGTCTCTGGCAGGTGGGGCGGTGGGCAGGAAGCTCGTCCTGCAGGGTGAGGCAAGGCGAGGCAGGGCGGGGGTGCCATTGTCACAGGGCAAGGTGAGGCAGGGGCCAGGGCGGCTGCTGCCTGACACCATCGGCCCCCGCACACAGAGGCCAGTGAGTGCATGGGTGCTGGGATGCATCCGGCCATGTGGGACCTCGGCGAGTTAGCGGGTGGCTGGTTGAAGAGGGATGGTTGCCATCTCCGGGGCATGGCGTGCGTGCCCACAGAGAGGGCTCTGAGTGCCGCCTCTGGCACGTGTGCCATAGGTTCGCCACCACTGCTTTAAAAGATAGAAAAGAATTGATTTCTGGAAAAGACCTTTAACCTTTGTTACTCACTGAGGGCATCTAGTGGCGAAAGTTTAACATTGCACCTTTTGGTTATCTTCTTAAAGATGGAACACTGAATTTCAAAATATCTTTGAGGGAAAGATAAGCTGTACAGGTGTGAAAACTGTGGGGGTGGATATGCTTTGTATTAAATATAGTCCCCACAAAAAAGAAAAAGAGACCTTCTTTTAAGCATTAGCATTAAAATGGAGAAACCTCAGCCATGATTGGATTTTGCATTTATATTGGAAAAGATTCATCAGACCACTGAAGAAATACATGCTACAATCTCTACTTTAGAATTAAGACCTAGAGATTTTACTACATTTGTTCAAATGGATGTCCAGGCTACATTTGACTATGGTAAAAATCAAAATATACCAGAAGAGGAATCTACAGAGATAGAAGAGGAACTTATTTCACCTGACAACCCTTTCTTCTGCAACTTAGAGAATAAGAAGAAGCAAAGATTAAGATTTCAAACTATAAAGCAACAACGCTGCAAGAAGAAGAGGAAAAGATGTTTATTGCAGAGGAAGGGATCTATACTTTCTCAAGGACTATTACAAGTAACAAAAATGGATCCACTGGTTGAAAGGGAAGCGCTTTTATGGAAGCCTGTGTGGTATAGAAAAAAACCCAGAATTAGACTGAAAAAGAAATTTAACACTGTTTAATGCAGTAGTTCTCAACCTTTTTAATGCCGTGACCCCAACTGGTCGTAAGTCGAGGACTAAACCGGTCGTAAGTCGAGGACTAAACCGGTCGTAAGTCGAGGACTACCCAACCGGTCGTAAGTCGAGGACTTTCCCTGCCTGGAAGCGCCGCGCATGCGCGGTTCCGCCCCCTGCGCCGGCTGAGGCGTAGATGGCAAGCGGCAGAGACGGAGCAGGCCGACCACCAGCTGGCCCAGCCCAAGGGAGGTAAGGCACCCACGGGAAAAGGGGAAAAAAATGGCGGACAAAATAATGGCGGACAGCCTTGCTTGGCGACTCCCGTGAAATGGTCGATCGACCCCAAATGGGGTCCCAACCCACAGGTTGAGAACCACTGGTTTAATGGATTAAAAGGCAATGTTGGTTTTAAGGTTTGTTTTAAGGATAATGATTTAGAGTTAGAAGTAAGAAAAATACAATTGTACACATGTGTGTTTAAATTAGTTAGATGATTCTTTAGTTTTATGGAAATTTGCCTGGCACAGAAATATGAAAGTTAAAAGTGGAGTGAAAAAAGAAACTTGGCTTTATGGATTGTATTAAGGATAATTATATACATACATATATATGTATGTATGTATGTAAAAGCTGGAGGTTGACTCCTGGGTAAATTCATATCTAAAGAATCACAACCGTGAGACCACCAGGAGATAAAAAACTATAATCAGTTTATTTACAATTAAAAGCACCTAGCTTTCGCCGGCCTCCTGCCGGTTTCGTCAGGGTGGCTAACCATCAGTGGGTGGCTGTTTTTATGGGAGTGGTGCCTTTTGCACCCGGCTCCTCGATCTCGTGACCGGGCCCAGATAGTCTTCTTGTTTCGCATCCTTAATTGTTCCTTTGTGAGTTGTTGTGTTCCTGGTTCTCTCTTTCCCACCTCCTCTCTTCCCCTGTTCTACTTGTTCATCGGGAGG